ACTAAAAAACATATACTTGTGGCAAAACTCTGAAGAAAAAATTCAATAAAGCTGCAAAATTTTATTTATTATATCAGATAAAAAACTTACCGAAAATGGTTCATAGCACCAAAAAACTTTGTGCTGAGTATCGTAAGCAACTATACCGGTCCTATAAAGTCCGCATTTTCCTGATCGTTTCACTTGAACAGATTAAACTGATAAGCAACAGGTTTATTGTAATTTAATCAAAGTTCGCTGAACAACTAGAAAACCTACACACTTCGTTTTATCAGTTTATAAATTCACTATTTCACAAAATAATACTGAAGTTTATAGCAAAAAAAAAAGTTTGGAAAACTCATTGGCGAAAAAGTGCCAATTTTTATTTAAAAAAAGATGCACCACCGGTGGTTATTCGAATAAAGTTAAAAGCGCTTTCACCTTTTTCTAATGGTCTACTGAATAAGTGTTGGAAAAATTGTTGGTCACAGCAGTTCAGTGATCAAATGAGTTGAACCGATGCTGATTTCAATTTTATTTTAAAATAAAGAAGAACTTACCTAATGAACCTGTCAATTTTCGAAAACAAATTACTATCAACATTGAAAAAATACTCAACCGCATTAAATTTTAAATTAATACAAAAATACTCAATTTTTGAAGAGGGTTTACATTGACCAGTAGTCCAGTTTTTGTATTATTTGAACATCGTTCTAATGTCTTCCTACGACAACACTCTACTTTTTCGCACATCAATTAACATGCGGCTTTTGTGATAGAGTATCGTCATAAAAATAGTTTTGATTTTCTTTTATCAACAGTTTAGTTTTTAGAATTTATTTTATTTAGGTTTTTTTTGCTTTTCCTACTAACTGTCGATTGTTCTATGACAACTTCAACTGTCACTCTCCAAGTGCTAAAAATCAGTAAGCGCCTAGAATCTGTTTATATGTGCCATACACAGTCGGTCTTTTGGATTGATAACAAATTTGTATTTTTCTCTTTTATAGTTAAATTAACAACAGAAAATGACCAGAGTTTCCTCGAGAAACAGCAAACTGCAGTTTTTGCTCTCTCAGTAACGCAAAGAAACAAAATGGCAAAGTCTTACAAGCAGATTCTATAGCAAAAAGTCAAATAAGCAAAAAAATTTGAACAATTAACTTTTATTTATTTTCCCCTATAAACATTTTCTTTTTTTGAGATAAACTATTGTACTTCAAAAAATTCTGCTTAGTAAAGCAGTTGGTAAACAGTGATAATGTTAAGAAAACTTTAAAAGCAAACTTATACTTTAGAAGCCAATAATTAGAATCCGTGTTGGGCATTCCTTTTTTTTTTTTAGATTCGTGTTCTGTTGCTAGTTTAATATATCAATATATGACGATTCCAGTGCTATGCTGATTGATCTCAGACAAACAAAGCACATTGCTAAAGCACCAATTTGAGTCATTTTTGTTTATTTAGATTTCAAGCGACTATGGTAATATCTGAATGGTTTCAAAGCTACTTTTATCCAGCAAAAAATTTCTAAAACAATAAAAGTCAATTTTTTGACTCAAAAAAAAAAAAAAAAAGAAGAAATAAGAAAATGTTTGAAGCTCAGTCAGACTTCTTCAGCCTACCACTACTTTCAATAAATAATCAAGCAAACGTACAAAAAAAAGAAACACTGTTACTCAATGATATTTGTTAACAGTAGCAATTGCTAATAACTAACATTGAGTAATAGCGTTTTCAGCTTATTTAAAGCTTAATGCCTAACTCAGATACAACGATTTTTTGCATCAATTAAGCATTTTTTTTTTCGGTTTTTTAACAAAATCTTTACAGTTTAAAAAACAAAATTATAAAAAAAAAAAATTTTGGCAAAAATAACTGTACTGATCTGTTACTAACAAGCCCCAAATTCTTAGAGTAAAAAACATAAAAATACGGGTTAGATTTAGGTACAACTAGGAAACCTTTGTCTCAATAAATGTCTCGAAATCCAAGCGACAAAAAATAAGTGCCTTTTCCAAAATCTCTTTCTCATGTTGAATATAAAAATGCAGCAAATATAATGACAACTACTTCTCAAAAAATTTTTAAACTTGAGCAGGTATTATTTAAGGTAAGGCTTTAAATAAGCCTATTTTAATTGTCATTCTAAATCTTTTTGAAAAACCTGTGTGTGTACAAAATTGTATAAAAATAAAAGTTTTCATTTTATATAATTCTTTTTGATGAATAACATTGTTGTGTTCTATATCATCAACTTGCATTTTTCAATATTTAGATTTTTAGAGATTGAGTTATTAAGAATAAGCAGTTTTGTAAAGCTTGCATTGTGCTAGATTATTAAATTCTAACACGACTAAAACCTTTTTTTGCTTTGTATCTCTTGTTTCTTTTCTTGAGAACAATAGGAACAACAAAGTTTACTAATTTATCTAAGATATGTATACCAAATCAGAAAATAATTTATTAACATTTATATGTTCTCAAACACCATAAATTTACAGGCTTCTCAAGCAGAGACTTAGTCATGATTTTTATGCATTCTGAAACATAGCAAAAAATATCAGTTTAGTTTTGACATTTCCACCTTTGCACAGTTTACAGAAATTGCTGCATGCATTTCTCATTATTCGTCCATGATTCCTCTTAACAGCAAGCCGTTGTTTATCCCCACAGCTAACAAAAAGTGTGTCGAGACAGATAAGTAATTAAAACAGTATTAATTAAAGACTTAAGACAAACTATCTTGTGAACAGAATTGGAGTATTTGTTTGAACAAAATTTGTGAATTTGATGTCAAATTATGGCTTACAACATTTTGACAAAATGAATCAGTGCGGTGTTGCAACTTTGTTGCATTAAAGTCCCTAGAAACTTTTTGGCATCTGTCTTAACTGTACTCAGAAGAAATCTTAACAAAAAAAAAAGTGCTGCTACCGATACAGTGCAGAATATTATAAATTTATTGTACAAAACTTAAGCAAGAGCAATTAAAGTTAAATTATTTATAGTTACTCTTTTTTCTAAAGCTTTCTTCTGATATCATTAGCGTATTTCAACCGCAAAAAAGTATGCAACTTCTCAGCAACTAAATGGTATATCATAAAAATCTTTAAACGAAAATTATTGTAGTAAAAGCTTGTATCAGTGTGTATCATCTGTTTAAAACTTAATAAATCTATTTCTGCAAATCTTGTAGTCACTCTGTCTTTTTTTTTTCAGACAGATGAGTAACAGTTGGAAGAGCAGTCATCTTAAAGCTCACAGTTACCCACAATGTAATAAGTGTCATATATAATTGCAGCAAAAAGTTACTTTAATCTGCAAATTGCTACTTATTAAATACTGTTCAAAAGAAAATTAGATGCTTTTAAAAGACAAAATTCTTTGACACGCACTTTTAAGTACTTTTAACTTACTTTTTTTTTTAGGCACAGAGATAACAACAAATCAAATTACTTAGCATTTTTTATAAATACAATAATGTGCAAATACAAAGAAAATTCACTGTTACATCGATATTTGCTATAATTTTGTCGTTTTAAAAAATTATTGTGTTGTGTAATAAAACTTTTGTAAAATATTGCTAAAACTTTTCCAAATCGATATCAGCAATTGGCGGTTTCTAAGAACAACTTTAAAAATTTTTTCGAACAAAAGATTAACATTGACTTAAATGAACATAACAGAAGTTAATGACCTGTAAAAGTAGAAGAATTTTGCACTTTTTTACAAATTTAAAAACTTATATCCAACTGAATAATTAAAAAAATCTTTGAAAACATTTTTGAAGAATATTGCCGTTTATAGCTATTTCTTACAAATATTTCAGTATTCAATATTTTTGTTGTCATTATTCTAATCGACTTTCAGTTTTTTAACTTTTATTGTCAACTGTTTTTTGATATATACAAAACTGTTACAGTTGTTCTGAAGCTACGACATTATTTTTTGTAGATTCATCTGCACATATCAGAGTACCACTGATACAGTATGATGTTAAGTATTTTCATTGAGCTTCGTTTGGTCTACTTTCTTCGTAACTTTTATTGTCCCACCTATCGCTTCTTTACAATTCTGAGCCTATTTTCCTCTGAAGCAATTTTTCAGTAAAGTTTTAATACCAAAGTGCCAGTGGAAAATTTTTTTTTTTGAACTTTTGGCAAATACAAAGACGATTTAATCGGTATTATTGTCAAATGTTTTCTCCATAAATTTCGTTCTGCAAAAAAAAACTAATCAGATTGAACCACGAAAAAGTTACTTGTTTGATAAAAAAAAAAAGGTTCTAACAAACAAAAAGGTAGAGAAACATGCCTGACATAATTGCTTTTAAATACCCTTTCATTAA